TAATTTTATGAAAATACATATGAAAGCTGTATATTTCCATATATGAAGACTTTTTAAATATATTTAGCAATACATTGTTGGTAGAAGGGTACACAAGTAGGTTAAAAGGACAAAACAAAGCTAGAAATAGACCCACAAATACCAAATGCTTATTTAATGTTAAACTTATTGGCATGTCTCAGAAAGAAACAACAACAACAACAACAACCTTTGCAACAAGTGGTGCTGAATCAATGATCCAAATGTCCTAAAGAACATGAATTTTGCCATCCCAAACCCTGCCACAGATAACACAAAATGAATTGCAGGCAAAATGAACAATTAACTTGAATGACAACACAGTTCCTAGACAGAGGAAAGAAAAATGTCTCCATGATATTGGGGCGGGCAGGAAAGTTTGTTCTGTTTTTAAATAGGAGGTAATATACTAACTGAAAAGAAGAGATTAATAAATTCCAAGTTCATTGTAATAAAATCCTTTTGTTATGAAGAACTTTAAGCAAAAAGAGAAGTCTGAGAGTAAAAGAAAGTATCTCCAAAATGCATATGTAATGTATGTAATGTGACAAATATAAATCCAAATATAAAAGTGTGTAGACATTCCTACAAAACAATAATAAAATCAGCACTAAAACTGAAAACAAGCAGTAAACTAATGCAGGAAGATTACAAATGAGGCTATCTAAAGCAGAAATATTCCAAGTAAATTCACATGCTAGAAAAGCTATGATGTAAAAGACAGTTAATACTGAACACTGGCAAGAATTCAGTGCATGTGTCATACTACCACTGACAGTAGTGATTTTATACTTAGGAAACTGATCCTATTTACTGAAGCTGAATATAAGCATACTGGCAATATGTTTTGTACCCAACTCCTGAAAATATTTAGACAATAATACCGTCTGTACTAGAGGGTGATAGGTCCCAAATTAGAAACCAGGTCCATGTACATCTACAATACACCTTCATGGTGTCAAAATCCTGATAACAAAATAAAAGTATTGATCACCTCTGAAATACACAGAAGATGCCCTACATCCTGCAGCATCAAACTCAACCAAGATTCCTTTATACAAAATAAAGGATGTCAGTCCCATTACTATGTAAAGTTTACTTAATCTTTAATAAATGACAAGAATATATGTACACCAAATCTAAATAAATAAATTATTTATTTTAATTAATGACTGATTTGTCTCCCTACTTTATATATGTATATGATGAAGTCATGTAAATATTACTCAGGTTAAGGGGGGGTCACAAACAGAAAATGTCTAAATTCCCTCGTCTCAGAATACATAAAACATGATACAAATTAATGTGTATAAATAGAAATACTGCAAAGTAACAAAAAAAAATGTTCCTCTAACCCTAATATTACAGACTGATGTCAGACAAATCCTGAGAATTCACTGCCAGCCAGTCTAGATGAAATGGCAAACTTCATGTAAAAAAGACTCTTCCCAGGACATAAAGTATAGAGCATCAGAGGAAGGTGCCTGATGTCCTGCTCTGATCATGTCTACCTATACACTAATATGCATTGAAAAACACATACACATAGCCAAATATAAAATCATATATACTCTGTTTCTACGTTGTTCACAAATAATCCATACTAACATGCTTATTAGAAATAATGATTATCTAGAGGAAGTGGGAACTAGAAAAAAGAATCTGTATGACCATGCTGTGTTTTGTCTATTGGTCTGGGTGATACATATGTGGATATATCCCTTGGTTGCAAGTTCACTTTACTTGTATATCTGAATTAAATTTATATGTATGCCTTCTTTAATTTTTTATGTATATGGGTATTTTACCTGCATGTATGTCTATGTAGCATGTGTATGCCATGTTACCACAGAGTCCAGAAGAGAGCTTCAGATCCAATGGGACTGGAATTTGAGACGGTTGTTAGCAAAAATATGGGCATTGGGAGTTGAACAGTTCAGTTCTTGGCAGTTCAGTCAGTGATCTTAACCAGTGAGCTGTCTATCTTTCAACCCTCTTTATGTAGGTTTTCTTGCACTAAAACAATTAATATAAAATTAAAATAAAGTTGAATGATCTCCCACTGGTTATTTTTCTTTATTTTCTAGCCACTTGGCCTAGAACATGACAAAGTCATAGAAATGAGTATTAGTGAAATAAAGCCTTAGTTTGCTGGTTGGAGAACCATAAAAGAGAGCTTCAGAGAAAAAAAAAACACCAGTGAGATCACAAAGAAAAAAGGAGTCAATAAAGTGATTTCATAAAGTTGTTATGAAATCCAACTTCATCATCTTCAGCTGTACATGTATGCATCTGATGTTAACTACACAGAAAATAAATTGAGAACTACATTAACCAACAGACTACTGCCAAAAGTCTAAGACAGGACAGATCTGAACAGCAATGAAAAAAAAGTGATATTGAAACCACATGAAGAAGCTTATAACTTTCAACTAGCTCAACTGTTCACTACTGTAAAATTATCAAAATTCTTCAAAGAATCTAAATAATTTACAATACCACAATACATTTTCAAAATATACAAGACATAATCCAAAATCACCAGGAATATGAAACACTAACAAAATACAAACTTTCATGGGCAGAGAACAATCAAAAGACACACAAAAAAAATTAAATGATATTGATGCTTCAACTGAGTGAGAAAGATGTTAGATTAGCCCGTATGAAATGATTCAAAATACAAGGAAGAGACTTAAAAGGAAATATAAAAGAAAGCCACATGTCATAAAACAAATGAAGATAACCCAAAATATGTAAATATGTAATGCTGAAAGAAAATACAGAATTGTGGCATAGACTCCTACCAGAGTCAAAACAAAACTGTTACCCAGCTTTATTAACACTTCGTGCTAGAAGCTGAAGACAGAGAAGAATAGCTTTCAAACATTCACAGAAAATCACATATTTTCTTCAGGAAACCACAATGCATATGAACACGGACTTCTCAGCAGAAAGCACAGAAATCAGAAGGAAAGGACACATTTTGTTTTTAAATGCTGAGAGTAGGAACTGTCAACACATAAAATTTTGTATCTATTAAAACTACTTTTATAAAATGAAGTAAAATAAAGACATTGTCAGATGAAGAATTAAGGAAGTTTGTTGTCATAACACCTGCTCTAAAGATTGCCTTAAAGGAGTGTTCTCCCACCAGCAGTAAATGACACAAGAAACCTTAGTTTCTTTGAATTACTGTTTCATTAGACAATAAAAAGACAAAGAAAACAGAAAATAATCAACTTAAGTGTGTGTGAGAAGTAATTCTTCTTGTCTTAAGTTCTTTGCAATGTGTGACAACTTAAAGGTACAATTATCACACTATCATATGTGACTGTCAACATATGTATATACACACACATATAAAGTATACTACAGAGCAGGAAGCAGAAAGACGTGGCAGTATTCATCGTCTATTAACAGTGATGACACATGCATTCCAAGAGGCTATAAGACTTTAGATATTTACGTAACAAATTTTAGGGAAAGCTATACCAAAAGATCAGTCACCCGCATAACAGTTAAATTTAAGTAGACAATCTGAGTCAAAATTGAATGAATGGAAAGGCTTCTCTTTAAGATGGCCGATGAGAAACTGCTGCCACATGACTCATTCAAGAAGAGTTAGTGTAAGAATAAACTCTATTCCAAAGAGGAAGACTTTTAGAAAGCGTAATGCAGTGATAGAACAACTGAGACGTACCAAGAAAACAACTTCTGGAAAAGTAAAATAGGCCAAACCAAATATGTCCTTAGCCTCAAGGCTCTGGGTCAGGAGAGGGAAGGAGCCCTGTCCAACAGGTAAACCAAGAAGGAGCCCTCAGTCCTACCTCCCTCAGAGCCCTCACAAGCCTCAAATCCATTAGCAGGTTTTAGTGAAACAATGAATTCTCTGGTAGAAAAGTTGAAAATAGAGAAGATTCCTATTTTGTCTTTCTATATGATGGGGCAGTGGCCATATGTTTCCTTGAGAAGGCTATTATGTAAAACAAAGCTACTCTGGGGTCCTGAGATAAGAGAACATTACAAGTCAGACTGCAAATTTCAACCTGTGACACCCTCAACAGTGAGAGATATTCCTGGGAGTGAGAAGTAGTTGTAGACAGGGAAACAGTAGACTGACAAACTGCAGGCAACGTAGTTAAGTAGCTGGAGTGCATTTCTTTGCTCTTGGAGTGCCTGTTTCAGGTTAGAAGGTAGGTCAAATTCTGGAGCCACCCACCAGTCCTTCTCAACTACAGGCCTAAGAACTCTGAAAAGCTTTCTTTCTGAAATTGACTGACACTTGGATCTTTAAAATATGAAGATAATTTACCCATATAGATATCAGTGCTGTGGTTGCTTGCTCTACACACAAAAACTTGACAGATACCCCAGACAGAAAACTGGCCACTCCAAAATGTACGTTCTAAGGAGTCTCCAGGAGAGTGAGAATCTTCCCAAATTAGATATTGGAAACAATTTCCTTTATCCTATTTTAACCATTTTATTCCCATTCAAGCATAATTCTAATTTTCCTACATACTTCCTTTGTTGCATTATTCAGCAATCTTTTTTTTCTTCAGAGAAGTTCTTGCTATGTAGCCCTTGCTGGCCTAGAACACAGTTTGTAGCCCAGTCTGGTTTTGAACTTGCAAAGACCCACCTGCCTCTGCCTACTAATTTATGCAATTAAAACCATGTGCCACTATGCCAGCTTCTGTTTTTTCTTTTGCTGCATGTTTCATTTTTCTTTGTTGCTGGACCATACTGTCAGTATATTGATTTTTATCTTACACTTTTTTTTTTTTTTTGGTGTTTCGAGACAGGGTTTCTCTGTGTATCTTTGGAGCCTATCCTGGCACTTGCTCTGGAGACCAGGCTGGCCTCGAACTCACCAAGATCCTCCTGCCTCTGCCTCCTGAGTGCTGGGATTAAAGGCATATGCCACCAATGCCCAGCTTATCTTACACTTTTTAACTCCTGTTAATGTTTTTATTGTCTTTGTTCTATTTATCAAGTTTTGCTTTTAAACTTTCTCATTACTAGAAAATCACTTTTGTCTTCTTTTTCCTATTAATTGTTCTTTTGTCTTCTCCTCCATAATGTTATTTTTCTATTTCTGGAAAACTGGTGTAACGGTAGAGGATACATTAAACAGATAAACCACAGAGACACGATGTGCTTTCTTTCTCTCATATAACCAATCTAGATTTAAGTGTGTATGTGTGCAAAAGGTTCTGTGTATGGGGTCATGAAAGTAGAAAAATATGAGAGGAGAAGAAGAGACCTTAAGGGATGAAGGCAGTGGCAAAGAAAATGCAATAGAATTCGTATGACATGAAGTCAAAAGGGAGAATGATTTGTGAGGAGAATCACAAGAAAGTATAGGAATGGAGAAAGGGGGACATTAAGGCAAGACAGTGACTAAGAATGTAGTGTAATGGCATGTGCATAAGAAAACACAAAATTCATCACACTGTATGTGAAAATTAAAAATTAATCAAAAGGGTTAAAGGAAACAAAACAAACAAAGTAAGTCATAAACTGGTAGACATGATATGAAAACTAATAATAACAAAAATTGTAAATGATCTAGCATATTACTTAAAGACAGTGACTGTCAGAGGGGTTAAAACATGAACCAAATATATATAGCTTACCAGAAAAGTTCTTCAGATATAATGATATAGATCATTTAAAAGATAAAGGACAGAAAGGTTAGTTGTCCCTCATTATCTGCAGGGGACTGTTTCCAGGACCACTCCTGGAAACAAAACTGCATGGACTCTCAAGTCTCTTTTATAAAATGGCACAGAATGCTCACGTACTCTATCAATACATTCCCATATACTTTAGATGGTCTCTACATTAAATGTAATACAACTTAAATGCTTTGTAAACATTTGTTATACCCTATAGTTTATGAGATTATCACTAGAAAGTAGCTTCAAGTATCCTGTAAAGCTGCATTGCTTTTGTTATTGTTGTCCAATTTGTAGGTAGTTGAATCTGAAGGTGCAGAAGCCACAAATCTGGAGGCATAATACTTCAAGAAAACTCTAATCAAAGCTGATATGCTGTGTTAGTTTTGATAAAACAGATTTCAAAGTGAATATTACCAGAGATACAGATAGACAATGCATAATTTATAAAGGGTAAACTAATAAGTAGGAAGTAACAATTGTGTATGAATATGTCCTTAGCAATAGAGTTTCAAAGCACATGAAGCACAATAATTAAAATATCAGAAAATTCATCGTTAATGATGTCAATACTCCCTTCATATTAATGGAAACAGTAGATAGGTAATCAATGAAGACTTGGATGAACCCCAAAATTAAGAGACATACACAGGCATATGGCTATTTGCAAAAAAATCTAACACTAATTTTAATAGATAGTATTCACCAAATTTTAGATAAATATGAGTATGGTTAGTGAAATGTTACTATGGGTAAGCACAGTTTTAATGGGAATAAAGGCTAACTGCATTGAAATACGATTTGTACCAGCAGAGAAGAGAACTGTGTGAAAGAGACTTTACAAAAACGAAAAGGAAATGAAGCTTTAAAGTAATGAGACTCTACTGGCCTCAGGTGCAAAAGCCAAGAGTCTTATCACACTTGGAGAAAACAGGGTCACTACTTTGTTTAAACATTTGTATTAACACAAATAGTTCTCAGTGTGGTGAAGTTCAATTATTTTCTTTAAATGTTTATCTTTTCAAACCCATTTATCAATCCTTGAGAACCCTATGTAAAAATGTAAATGACTTTCATCTGGGAAAATAATCTAAAACAGAAATTTGTATTTCAATAAGTGAAAGTACTCTCTATATAAAACTAGCATTTTCTATAAAAAATCAGTAAAGTGGCAGGTAAGTAGCAATATAGTTTGTTTTATATTAGCCTCATTCTTTTCTTGATTTTTCACCTCAAAGATGAAAGTATTTATATTATTTTTGAATTTTTATTGTAATTTTTATTTGGAACAATTTCAAATGTGTTTTGATCACATTCTTCACATCACCCAAGTCCCTCCAGATCGTCTCCCACTTCCTACTTACCCAACTTTGCTACTTCTCAAAAAACAAAACAAAATTCAGTAGCACAACAAAGCCTCCCAAAATCACAAAAACAAAATAAAACCACATTCAAGAAAAAAGCAAAAACAAATGACTCCAACTAAATTTGATCCATACAAAATCACATACACACACACACCAAAACAACAACAAAGACCTGTGGAGTCCAATTATATGTTAGTCAGCTACTCCTGAACATGAAGCCTGTCTTAGCCAGTGTCACTCTATTGGGTAAAACTGATTTTCCCTCTCTCAAAAGTTGTTAACTTTTACACTACTGGCTAGGTTTTCATTTGTTCATAGAGTGATTCATTTCATTATTTAAAAAAATAACAATTTATAATAAGATAAAACAAAAACTATCACATCAAAGTTGGGCAAGACAAAACCAAAAGAAGGAAAAGAGCCCAAGAAAGGGTGCAAGAATCAAAGACCCACTTTACATACATTTAGCTTTTGAAATCTTCATATGTAAGGATTGTATCTAATTCCTTCCTCCTTCTTCCTCCCACTCATCCCTCCATTTGCTCTGCTATATTCAAATGTTCCCTCTCCTCAAATTCATGTCCTCTTACTCTTGAATTATTACAGTTAACACACACACACACACACACACACACACACACACACACACACAGCTCTTTTCATTTAGTCTTGTTCATTTGTCTCTTCTGATTGCATAACAACTGGGAGACTCATCCATGAAGCAGACTAATTCTCATAGTTTATTAATTACCTGTATCTCTCTATCTGGGGGTACAGTCTTGCCAATTGGTGTTGTCATTAATCAGAAGCAAGCATGATACTCTGATGTTGGTTAACAATAGGGCCTATGTAGATCAAGGTATGATTAGAGAAATCTGCTTCAGGGCAGTTATCCATTACATACATAGAGAACAAAGCAATTATAAGAAGTACTAATGCTAATGGAGTATCATTTGTCTATAAAAAAGAAGAAAAAATAAAATCCTGCAGATTGATTTTGATTCCAAACTAGATGAAATGACAATAAGTTATGTTACATGAAATAGGCCAGGCACAGAAAGACAAGTCCCGATACACTCTTCCATATGTAAAATGAAAAAGAAAAAAGGCAAACTCAATTTGGATAGGGTGTGAGGGATGTAGGGTAGTGGTAGTACATGGTAAGAACAAATTTTATCAATGCCTGTTGTATGAATGTAAAAAATGGTTTATACTACTCTGCATAACTAATATATTTTAATGAAAAGAAAGTATGGATTAGACTGGTAGTAGTAATGTTTGCTAGAGAACACATTAAATTAGGTAAATTGTGAAATTATTTGTTTCCTTCACACACAAAAAAAGCATTTCTGGCAGTAAGAGACAATGTTAAATTTTCTTTAATTAGAAATGATGGTACCAAGGGAGAAAAGGGGGCACTCACTTTTCCATCACATGTTTAACTGTGGTCTGACAGCTCTTCTGTTCTTATTAATATATTTTAACAAAGAATTAGAAATCATAGAAGTATTACATTGTGTTTACTTTATAAGGTAAGTATCCTGTTTCACAGATGGACTAATTTGAGTGAAAAATAATTGGGAGAGGGTTTTGCAAATTGTATTAGGTACAGGTACATTTTACAGTATACTTGGTCTAAAGGTTGGTTTGTCCATTTTAAAGACTAGTGTCAAATACTTCCAATTTTACAATATATAAATACATACATATACATATAATATATATATATATATATATATATATATATATAGATATGAGAATTGTCTAGTACTAGAAAAGAGACCAAGGATTATGACCTATCACCTAAGTACAGGCCACACTGCAAAAGTGCATACTGATTCTAATGAAACTCAGCCCTCGGAGGTTATTGTAGTGATCTTATCTCCCAGATATAAGTTTTAAATTCAAGACTCAAGGCATTCTATAATTGTTACTGGAACAACACCAAAAGGGGAAGGGATGAAGTTAAATGCTGACCTTTCACTCAAATAATTAGATTAATACCCAAAATAATAACACAAGAGCAAACAGAATGACGACACAAAATCCCCAGTGCTCAGCTCATCTCTTTATGGTAGAACCTGTTCTAAAGGTTTTTTTGATGACTCAGATATTAATAGAAAATATTAGTTATCTAAAGAGAATGAGGAAAAAATCCTGAAATCACCAGGGTAGCTTTTGTTCAAATTAACCTTTCTCTCCCTCAGATGAGTAACATGGACTAGATTTAATTGACATAGCCATTTTAGGCTCAAGTAGATGAATGACATCAGAAAATTACAATACAATGGTAGACTTGCCATTTGCAACTATGCCCCTTAAAAAGATTACACTAATCTAGTATTTTCATTATTCTGACAAGACAAGTATCTTGGTACCATTTATACCACCAGATAAATTGGCCACTATCCCAAAACATGGAGATTATTTGACTCCACATGTGATTCAATCAAACTTATACAAAAAGGAAGCCCACTATGGTAAACTGACACCATATATCAGGAGTGACTCATTTTGACATGAGGGTCACATATTGTTTCTGTGTCACCTTAATAGCCCTTATTCATTTTGATACAATACCTCTTGGTTCATAATATTCAGGTAGATTTGCATGTTTGGATCCATATGCTGCAAGTATACTGGATGTGAGTTTTCTGCTTCTCTCCCGTTGTGGTCAGAGCAATAAAGGGCAAAGAGGAGTGAGACTTTATGCATGGACCACAAACATATGTATCACAATTCTTGGTTAAAAAATCAGGAACTTTGCTTAGGTGAAAATGGAACCTAATCAAACTATAGGCAGCCCCAGAAATTATGTCTTTCATTCTGTTCTCACCAGGACATTTAAAGAACTATAAAACTGTTTTTTAAACTCCAGATCATACTATCAACACTTTTAAGTTAAGATTGGTGGATACTTTGAAAGCAAAGGAAGAAGTTCATTCCTTAATACTCTGCCTGCCCAACTCTATCCCTATCTGCTACATAACCTTTAATCCCAGCACTTGGTTGGCAGAGGCAGGTGGATCTCTGTGAGTTTTAGGCTGGGGGTGTCAACAGAGTGAGATCCAGGACAGCTAGGGCTACACAGAGAAAACCTGTCTTGAAAACAAAACAAAACAAAAAACAAAACAAAAAAGAAAAGAAAAAGAAAGGTATGCTAAAATTGGAAAGGTTATGACAGAATGACATGGAATTGAAACAATTAAAACATAATAGAATACAGAGTATCTATGTATATCATACACAGGGCAATCACAGTCTTATGAAATTTGTGTTTCATCTGTAATTATTCCTGGCTATTTGAGCAACTTCACTGTGTCTTATATGTACTTCTCTGTTGTTGGTGCATTCCCCTATAGGTAGCTATTGGTCTTGAGCTTTTGTCTACTTTGCTTTTAAACTAGTCACCCACTATGGTAGTTTGAAAGAAAATGGTCACCAAGAGGAGTGTCACTATTAGGAGATATGACTTTATTGGTAGTAAAGCCTTGTTGGAGAAAGTGTGTCACTCTGGAGGCAAACTTTGAGGTCTCATATATGCTCAGACCATTTCAGTGTCTCAGACCACTTCCTGTTGCCTGTCCAAGATGTAGAAGTCTCAGCTACCTCTCCAGCACCCTGTCTGTCTGCAGCCGCCATGATCTACCATAAAGATAATATGCTGAGCCACTGAACTGTAAGCTATCCCTCTAAATGTTTTCTTGTACGAGTTGCCACGGTCATGATGTCTCTTCACAGCAATAGAAATCCTAAGACAATCAATCAGTCATTGTAGGAATTAACACAAGCTGTTATTTCTATAGATTCAGTGGTGCTTCCTGATGATCACATATTTTAAACACTATGTGAGAGATGGTGTTACCCTCTGGAGAAAATATGAACCATACACAAAAGGTAACTATCTAGGTTTATACCTAAGGAGAGGTGGATGTATTCAGTGCCCTGTAGTTAGAGCTTGTCTTCCAAACTGAGAGGGAGATCAGTTTTATAAGTCCTTCTAGGAAATGTGCATAGTGCCCTAAATATTTATTCTGACAATTAAATCTTCCAAACACAAGCCAATCTGATACCCAATTCATTAGCAAAGTGAAATGAAAAAGAACACAGCATACAGTGCTATTAACGGAGTTCATGCATGTCACTACCCACAAATGTACTAAAAATAGACTCATTTCGATTTGACTATCTCCACACAAAATCTGTTTTTCAATACACAACAATTCAGAAGTGCCATTTTCAAGTTTTAAAAACATTTAAATTGTATAACTTCTTTTCCAAGAAAAATGTTTTAGGAATTTCATCACTAGTACATGTTTAATGAAAATAGTATGCTTGCGCACACACACACTGAGAAAGTGACAGAAAGGTTGAAAACATTAGCATCCTATGACTCACATATATTTTTGAAGCACACAAATTAGTAGGTTCTAGATTCAGAATAATGACAAATACCACAGTCATCTTTAATTGATAAATTATATTTATATGAATCACTAGCACCAAATGGGCATTGTTCATGTAAGAATGTATATCTAATTCATCTATAAAATGGGTATTTTAGTAGAACAGTAAAAATTTGACAAAAGGTAGCCAGATTGAATATGAATAAAATACATTTATTTTCAGAAACTTTTGAAAACTATATACTAATTTGGAAAGTAAGCCTCTCATGTCTAGGCCCCTTGTGTCATTAAATAAGTCTATGCAAATGAAGCAATAATTATACATAATCTATTTGGAGTTCTTAAAAACCCTGAAGGAAAGCTTCCCAATAAAAACTGTATAAAAAACTTCAGGGTATACAGATATTATTCAACTTTTTTAATGCTGAATGGATTCAGATAACTAGGATATTAGAAAAATCACATTCCTAGGTATGTCTGTGAGTGCTTTTATAGAGAGGGTTAGATGAAGAATGCTTGGATATAATTAACGAGCTGATCCTCTGGGATTAGAAATATGAACAGAGTACTGGGAGGTGGGGCAATGTGGAAGAGATGGCTAGAGTATGTGTCTTAGAAAAGCTGGAGATCTACAAAGATGACACCAGCTAACAATCTAAGCAACAGAGGAAAGGCTGCCTTAAATGCCCTCCCCTGATTATGAGATTGATGATTGATTTATATGCCATCCCATAGCCTTCATCCAGCTGCTGGTGGAAATAGAAGCAGACACCCACAACTAATCACTGAACTGAACTGGAATCCAGTTGCAGAGAAGGATGAGTGCTGGGCAAGAGGGAACAGACCAGGCTGGTGAAACCCACAGAAACAGCTGACCTGAACAACAGGGAGCTCTTGGTCCCCAGACTGATAGCTGGGAAACCAGCATCGGACTGATCCAGACCCCAGGAACATGGGTTTCAGTGAGGAGACCTCGGAAATCTGTGACCTCCTGTAGTAGTTCAGTACTTATCCCTAGCATAGTTGTGGACTTTGAGAGCCCATTCCACATAGAGGAATACTCCCTGAGCCAAGACACACAGTGTGTGCCTAGGGCCTATCCCAAAGGATATGATAAACTCTGATGACCCCCTATGGAAGGCCTCACCCTCCCTGGGGAGCAGAAAGGGTATGTGATAGGTAGGGTTTTAGTTGAGGGGGGATGATAGGGGAGCACTGGAGGGAGAGGGAACTGGGATTGTCATGTAAAACAATCCTGTTTCTAATTCAAATAAAAAAAAGGAAAAAGAAAAAAAAAAAGAAAAAAGAAAGGTCTACCTTACACCTGGACCTTCCTCCTTCTGTTTCTTGTTACTAGCAGTAAGCACCATGTACTCTTGCTGCATTCTGTCTTTCCATGGCCCTGGGCCATGGAACAAGTTAGCCATCACTGAAAATATGAGGCAAAACAAATATTTCTTCAAGGTTTTTGTTAAAATGGTAAAAAAAATTCATCACAAAAGCAACACAAATTTAGGACCAGGTATTTAATAAACATAAAACTACATTAAATACAGGAAATGAAATGTGAAGTGTAAAGGTGGAAAAGGTGGAAAACTGATTTGATAAATATTGACTATTGAATTTAAAATGTCATCTGCACATTCTTTACATTTAAATGTTCTCTTCAGGCAGCCAAATAGTAAATGGCAGCATCACAGAATTCAAAAGACTAAATAATTTCCCATATGGTGTAGAGTAAGAAACTGAGACTCAAGGAGGATTACTAATTGCTCAAGTAAAACACATCATGAATTTAAGTTTCTTTATGTTATGGTGAATGTGGTATCACTAGTCATAACACAAAACTGTATGTGTGGGGCATGTATGAGGACGGCATGTGTGCATGTGTTCATGAACATATTGTGTTATCAGTAGTGATAACTCAAGACTGTAGTGTGCGGGGCATGTCTGGGATTGAACCTGTGAATGCGTGTGCATGTGGAAGCTAGGGATAACCTCAGCAGGAATTGCACCTCAGGTACACTCAACTGGTTTGGTTTGGTTTGGTTTGGTTTGGAAGCAGAATCACTCCTAGGTCTGAAACTCACTAAGTGGAATATTTTGGCTATTTATAAATTGTTGAACTTGTCTCTACCCTCCCACATACTAGGATCACAAGGTCATAACTCAACACCCCAATTTTTCATGTGGATTCTGGGATCTAACTAAAGTCCACAGCTTTAATGAATGAGGTACTTCTCCTTTGTAAGATTAAGTGTTTTAAAATGTGATTCCAAATAATTTTTAAAATTATTATATTGCATTACCGAGAACATCTCAGTGTGCTACAGTTCTAAAGATCCAAATACTATATGAATCATCAGAAGTTGTACATATCTATCCTTGAGCATGTAAAAAAGTTAATACCAAAGAAAATGCTTATCTAAGACATAAAGAATGAATGACAAGTAATAAGAAAACCAGGAAAGCAAAATAGATACCATTTAATTTAAAGGAAGAAAGAATTTACATTTGTCACCAAACCAAAAGCTCAATGAGAGCTGAATGAGCAATAGTTTGGTGGCACGAGAGAGGCACTTGATGCAGACAGAGATGAATTCATGCGTAATTCACTAAAGAGAAACAGAGGGTATAAATATCTCTTTGGAGAAATCTGAACATAGGAAAAGAGGGAGGGGCAGTAGGCAAGTATTTTTTATCTTTATAAAGGTCACTATATTTCACTAATGTTAAGATGAGTAGGTCGCAAGTCTGCCATCATCTTTTATACCTGTTTGGCCATTATGGCATATAGATAATACTGACCATATAATCTAAAATTCATTCTCCAATTATTCAAAAACCCAAATGAATACAGAACAGCCTCTTTAGCATATGAATATGATCTTTATTCAGCCATTCTTCTCATATCCACCACTAAGCTTAATAATGAACTACATACACATAACACTTCTGAATAACCCAGGTATTCTTACCTCATTTCTCTCACCTTTCATGAGTACTATTACTTTCTTCTAGATTGTCCTTTCCCAATGCAACCACTTCTACTCCCTTCACCTATCAAATTACTTTCAGTCTCCATGCAAACACTAACTTATCTCATGACTACTTCCTTAATCACTCAAGAAAAAGTCACATTCCTGTAGTATCTTCTTTAAGTCCTTTACCAAGATGACCACAGCCCATTTGTCCATTTAAGGCACATTTCATAATTTTATATGTATGTATCTACATTTATTAAATAATAAACTTTAATATTTTAAGCAAAAGAAAGAATGGTTTTGTTACTAGAAACATGGTACACACCTACATACATACATATATGTATATACATATATACATGGTAAAAACTCATACAATATGAATACCTTTTAAATTAGGCCATAGGTGATACACACACACACAGACAAACACACACATACACTCACACACAAATACACACGGAGATACAAGGGAAACTAGAGTTTTGTAAGTTACAGGTACATTTATTTCCCTAAAAATTAAAACTATCACATTCTAATGTAAGAAAGCTAATGAAACTAATTTTTTTAATGTGTAGACTTTCCTCTCTCACCTCAGCTTGTCCACATTTAACAAGAATGTAATAAGAAAATTATAAATGCAATAGTGTCTGTTCCCACATTTCAGTATGTGGATTGGGGGATTATTAACACTTAGAAATGCAAGTTGCCTTGAGCTTCTCTATTTTTACAAAGAAGCCATATAAGACTTCTCTTAGTAACTAGTTGGGCTAATATCTTCCAAGTGAAAAGACATAGAAATGCCAGCCAATGAAACTCAGACTCCAAAACGAAGAGATCTTCTCTCCAATTTTAAGTCAACTTTAAATGTCCATCTACTAGAAGCAGAACAGCTTTAAAATAATTTAAGTATTTCAAGCGATTCAGATTATAAAGAAAATCTGTTTTTTCCTATTAATCTTCTGAAGGATTGGTTTATTAGGAATTTTAATATGTTTTATTTTGTTTATGGTGAGTGTGTGTGTGTGTGTGTGTGTATGAGAGAGAGAGAGAGAGAGAGAGAGAGAGAGATTTAAAAATGTAGCTTAATTTTATGTGCCTTCCCAATCCTGGCAGACATTTTGGCAGGGAGGGGTAGTTGTTTGTTTTTACTTAACCATCAAACTGAGTGCCTGATAGCATGAAACTTAGGAATAACAGAATGGAAGCAAAAAGAAACCCTAATTGTTATAAATTCTGTATTGCAATTCTAAGGTTAAAGGCAGCAAATTCTCAATTGTTCAAACTGTTGGTGTGTTTCACTATTAAACAACTTTCCTTAATAATTATCATCTTGGGGAGGGTAACTATAAATCAATGACAGGTGGTAGCTCCGGCCTCTACTGTCTCCAGGTGAAGAATCACTGGGCAGCTCCAAGGGCAACAGAAGTACTTCAGTAATGATTCCTCCATTTTCCTCTCAACAGTCTTGCCTTTATTCTTTTGACTTAAAATCTTAACCCAAGCTGCAGGCAAAATAAACTTGTGGTTACTGGTCAGACTGAAAATGTATGCTCAGTGGTTTTAATAAGAAATTTAACAATATCCAGGTTGACACTTTAAAAAAAAATAACTGTAATTCCCAGTCAGAACTGTTATAAGCCAGGAAAGAAAACCTCAAAAGAACTTACTTGAACTGTTCTCTTTTAGCACAATAAATGAACAAATAAGCATAAAGCATCTGGTTTGCAAGACAGTTGAAGACCTTGTAAAATTTCTGCATTTTGTTATAATCTTGTAATTCCAGTAAATCTAAAAATATATTTCATCTCTGAAAAAAATAACTGGACCACTAGCTACCAAGCTTGTAACCAAAAGGAAAAACCATGACACCAAGAGATGCTGTTTAAGGTCAGGGTTTCACATGTTCAAACAAGGTCAGGGTAACCAACCTCCAGGAGAAGTATTGGATCATTCCAATTCTCTTAATTGATGAATTTTCTTCAAGGAAAAAAATGGGCTCCATTTCTGTTTTAAAATTCCAGAGTATCTCTAATAGAGCAACTATGACAACCTTGCCGTTGTTCTCACGTAAGAGGAAACCCTATAATAAGAGCTTCCCGAAATGTCAAATGATACTCGTCTCATAACAGGGCCTCTTTGTTCATTCACCATGTCTCTTTTGATATGCACAGATAATAAAAGTTCATGTAAAACTAAAGGTAATATAGAGCAAAAGCCAACACTAATTCTGTATAAATATGTCTGATTAATATGAATGCCATTGTTATGGTTATTTCGTAATGTCACTATTGTTACAAGAGCAGAGGATAGAAGTACTCTTACTCTCAATGTTTTTGTTCATCCTCTGTCACCCAATCAGTTGGTGGATTTTCCTTCAATGGGTGAAATGAAGGATAGACTTTTTTGCCCATTAATTATTTTTGTTGCATTAGTTAAATACATAACCTGTGAAACTAACTTTAAATTCATGAGAAAAATTCAGGAGTTTTATTCAAAACTGAACTCCTCATTCCTTTTAAACACACACACACACACACACACACACACACACACACACACACTACATTTATACATATGTATAAATGTAGTGTGTGTGTGTGTCAGAGATACTTCCCAGGCTCTGGTTTTTCACAGTCACAACTACTACATTACACTGGTGCTTGCCGATGAGAATTTGGAAGAAATAAATAGCACAATAACTCCAAAACTTGATTAAGAGCCTAGCAACTTAAATCTAAAATATGGTTGGATAGTTCAATTACTATGTGGAGTTCAGTCACAAAAATAGAACACCCACATAGCAGAAGTACAGGAATGTCCATTCTCAGTGCATGTGTGTCAATGGGAAGAAAATGGAAACTAGGTCATAGGTAGCAGCCTAAACAGCCTAATGTATTTGAAAGAATATTCTAAGGTGAGTAGATATCTGTATTGTCCTTAGTTTGTTTCCTCTTTAAATTCTTCTCTTCTCAATCCACTCCCTTGAGGCTACAGCATAAAATAAAACTTAACAGTGGATCTTAAATTTAGCTGACACTTTTATATTCTTCACAACATACTCTTTCGATTGCACCCAAGAAGGAGATTATTAAATAGTAGCAGGAGACCAGTTGCCAGACCATTTTGACTGGGGGAAAAGATACATTGTGCTTTCTCGCTGACAAACCAAACATTTCTACAATCTTTATAATAAATTTCATAAATAAGCTGCTATTAATGACTGCAAAGGGGGGATTATATTTTTCCAAGTCCCTTCATCCTTTCTCAAACCCTCAGTAGCCTGAAGAAGTGGCAGGAAGGGTACATGAAAAGCTTCATGCTGAGCTGAGCCAAGTCTCCTAGGAGGCAGGTCCCGTCAGTCAGATGCAAGGATACACCTCTGTGATTATTTTAGTACATTTATTGTAGTAATTAGCTAGTGTTCCCTTTGCTGAAGCTGGCGTCACTCACAGACCTCTTTTATTTTTTAATATAGACTTTCTTTCCTTTTTTAAAAAATGAATTTACATATTTTCCATCTCCCAATCCCTCCTATGTTTTATTTATGAATATAGCTCTTCTTGATGGTAACTTTAATGTGAAATAGGTAGTAATTAATGTCCCAGCCTGCTAGGTTAATCCCTTTCCACTCTCTCTACAGAGAAGTTTAAGGTAAGTAACAGTTTACAGTCAATATTAGGTTTAATTATGCTTAATGAGAGTTAGTGTCTCTGTTTACTAACTACATTTAGGTGTGTGGATCCTAGATGAGTTTTCCCCTGGCCTCACTCTGATTCGTTAACAGTGCCTGTGTGTGCTGTATGTGCTGCATTAAAGCTAAGAAGCAGTTTCTAGAGGAGAAAGCAGTAAGGCATCTGTTTCAGTTGAGACACCATTAAACCAGCTGGTGCAGTCTCAGAACAACCACATCTTTCTTTGGGAAGAGAATGTCACTTTATGCTTTCCAAACAGATTCACTTAAGAGGCTAATTATTGATTATATTCCACACTCTGAGTAAGGCTATACATATAAAAACTGTTTCAAGCTTCAAACAGCCATCAGTGGTACATAGGGAAAAAAAAAAAAAAACTATAGAGCGGTAAACTCTCAAAGTGTCTTGTGTCACTCCTTTAACATCATTGCAAGTACTAAGAACTAAAGCTACTGGTTTAGTCATTTTCCCTTGCCTAAAGATAGTTTATCTTAAAATTACATTCATTTCCATTGCAGAATAGATGACAAAACTAATTTTATTACTGTAGAGATGAATTTAGCGAGACAAACTCACAAACAAAATGAAATCAAGTAAAGAGTCAAAGGAAATACAGTACTTATGTATTTAAGGAACCCCCTTTGTTAAGTTCTTACCATGTGTGAAACTGGCAATTTAGTTCCTCTAAGTCTGTTCATTGATTAACCCATTGTGTAATCATTATTACCTGGTTTTTGTTTTAAGGACATTGATGAGAAGACAATCCCTTCCCTCAACAAGCTTACCACATAGAAAACACAGGTAAAAACTAACAACAAGTGCAGTCTTACTGTTCATGAGGTAAATGTTGAGGAGACACAGGACTGATGTATTCCTTCTTTATCAGAGGAATAAGCAAGGCCTGGACTAATGCAACAGAATTTTGTTTCTTGGTCATATGAAGGCCATGACAGACTCAATGAGCAGGAACAGCAAAGGTGCTGGAAAAGACTCATTAAAAGACAACACACTGTAAACTGTGAGGAAGGATTGTGCACAAAGAGAAAGGAAAATGAGGAAACAGGAAAGAAGTTTGCAAGTTAGGCACAAGAAAAGTAAATAGAAACCAAATTCAATGACATCTTCCATTAAATTTTTAAAGTAATGTGAGAAGTAAGAAAAACTACAGTGGTATCTTGAAAACCAAGGACAAGATATCTTAAATCTGGAAGTTATACTGAATTTCACTGTACCCTTGTTAACAGCTATTTTAAAATTGTTAAGACTTCCAACATCTTCTATTAGAACTCCTCTCATTCAGGTGAAAATAAAATACTTTGTGCCATGGGAAAAAGAGTTCCTATAATGAATAACAGCAACAGAAGTTATATAAAAAGGAAGTACTGGGTGCATCTTTCATGCAGTTATTAGGAACCTTACACATGATTATTTGGTAAAAAAAAAAAAGTTTGCAATTCATTTCAGAAACTATTTGTTTTTTGAAATTCTACATGAATACACCATTCTATCTGAATACACTCAGATTATATTTTTGCCTTAAATTTACTGAATTTCAACTTACTTACACATATTTGGCAAAAGACTTAAACTCTACTCTATAACAACTTTAAAATTTGTAATACATTAACTAGAGTCACAATCTTGTGTGACAAAGACTATTAACTTAGTCTGCCTACCTACAAGCTCCTCCCCATCACTTTAAGATTCTAGCAACCACCATTTAACTATGTTTCTGTGTGCAGCTTTTAAGATCACACATATAAGTGAGATGATGCAGAATTGTCTTTGTGTTCCTACACTATTCACTAAATATAATGTCCCAGGGGTTTATAATATTTAAAAATTGCAAAACGAATAGATAAATAGACAGACAGACAGAAAGACAGATAACATCTAAAGTTGAATATCAGTATTCCAGTGTCATCTACTGATGACCATTTAGGTTGTTTCTGTATCTTGGCTGTTGTGAACAACACTGGAGTGAACTTTGGAGGCAGGTATCGCCTCTGCATACTCTGCCATAGATCTGAATTTATACTAAAAGTGTGACATTGCTGGGTGACACAACAATTCTATCTGTAATTTTTTGAGTGACTTCCAAAATGTTTTCCATAGTTACATAGTTACTGTATTGTCTAACAATGTACAAAGAATTCTCTGTATTTAAAATGTCAGGAACACATACCTCCAGCTTTTTAATAACATATTAACAGGTATGAAATACTAGCTTACTATAATTTTAATTTGTGTCTTTATGATTATTATTGATGTGTGACATTCATTTATCTCCTGATTATTTCTGTCTTCTTTTAAGAAATAAATTAAGTATTTGTCCATTGTACAAATACATTGAATACCTTATGTTTATTGAATATTAATCCTTATCTATAGTATGGCTTGAAACTACATTCTCTTGTTCTGTGACTTAATTCTATAGCCTTTGTTGTTGTTACTTTTCCTTTTAGAAAACAAAGCAGAGGCAAACCCACCAACTACTAAGTTTAAGAGATAAATAGTGTAATCGAAATTATAAACTCAATCAGAAAAGGCTACTTTCTGTGGATAAGTTCTGAGGTTTTAATAATTTTAGAAAAAATTAAACACGTGGCCTATGATAAATTTTTTGCCTCTCTTTGGAGCAGTTATTCCTTTGTTACAGTACCCTGACTTCTGTTTGGAGAATACTTCTCAAATTCTGAATGCACTCTGGGTGAGATGACAACTCCATGTGCAAAGGGAAACAATGAGAACCTGGGTAGTCATAGAAGAAAGAACGCTCATGAGGTTAAAAGAGAAAAATAAAATAAATGTATCAGAAAATAGAAATTATTGAAGAAAATGCCGTACTGATTGAAAAATGGTGAACAATGTTCTAAATTAAGTCATCAATACTTACTAGCAACATTCTTTGTGTCAGCCATTGAATTTGATACTTTTATTAATAATATCTCTAATCCAAATCATAACTCTATGGACGAGATTTCATTTTTCATTTTCTTTTTAGAAGACTAGACCAGAGAAGTAAGTAACTTACCCAATAAGAAGCAGCAGTTGAACCAAGGCTAAAACTCAATTTAAACTCCAAGTATAATGTTATTTCCAGATAGGAAGTACGAAACACACATACTAAATAAACAAACGTTCCCACATAGCTGTCAACAAGTCACTCTCAAATCATGTCCGTCTGTTAATGAAAGAAGTTGCTTGTGTCTCTAGAGTCAACTAAGACAGTAACATATTTCAGGAATTAAAATGAACATATTTCTATACTGTTAAGAAACAAACCATCTTGAAGTGCATAGTCAAGCACAGAGGGAAACGTCTTTCATGTGCACACTATCCAGTACGTAAGGGACCAGACACTTCCCTTAAGGCCTCATGGCAGATAGTAACACAACAGCAGTGAATAATTTAAACAAAGCCAAGCTAGCTATTTCAGATATATTTAAAATACAAATGGGTAGCTATGTACCTTTATAAAGATTATTCAGATTTTAAGTATTCCTTTCTCTAAAGTATCTTAAACTGTGTGAAATTAGAAACTAAATTTACTACTAAAAGAGATTTAAAAACATATAATTTAAATAGTATAATTAACTAGTAACAGAAAACCATGTTATTATTTTAGCTATATGATCATCTTATTTTTATCCAAATGTACTAAATTCCTCCATTTAAAATATGGATACTATCAGTGTTTGGAAATCTACATATTTCTGACCTCACCTACACTGAGCTTTCTGCCTTGTCCTTTCCATCTCAGTATCTTAGTTATGGATACTGGATATTTGCAAAAAACACTTAAAACAGTTTGTATTTGCCTATACCACACTACTTCAGATGGTCTTTAGAACATTCAAATATTCATTAGAAAATAGCCATTTTTAGATACTTAAATTTTGTTTCTCTGTTTAAGGAAAAGTAAAAGGACACACCTGTATTTTATTTGGTAAGGCTTTTTTACCCTGATAGTCACAGTTAATCATAGTAGGATTATATAAAATAAAGGTGATCTTAGTGTTAACTCATGGTTTATAATGTAAAAATATCCCCAGGTATATGCCACAATGCATCAGTACAAAAAGGACAAATATATTTCAATATACTATTCATGTGTAGTTCAATGACTCACTATAATGGAATATACACACTATATAGTTATAGATCTGTAGATGCATATACATTTATATCTGAGCAGTTTTCCTGAAAGTTAAAGGGAAAAACACTTAAGCTGTTTTCATAACACAAATTATAACTGAAATAAAATGTCCTTTAAAAACTATAATTAATGGCTGTTATGTCAAATGTGAACCAAAGGGTCAAACCTTATAATTCACAGTTTGAAAGGTCACAGCTTAAAATTATAACTTTAAGAAACTGATTATCTATGAGTAATTTGACAAATCCATCTAATAAACACTGGATGCATACAAAATATTTTAAGAGTATAAAGAATGTATGTCCAAGTGGACAGCTGATGAAGGAAATGGCCTCTTTTTACTGAACAAGGCTGAAGTCCAGCATAATGCTTGGAATGACTTTGAATGAGAAAACAGCCTGGAAGGCCAAGTGGTGCACAAATCCAATACGATGCATAACGGACAAATCATTAGAAGACAAAAATGTTGTATACACATGACCAATAAGAGAAAAATAAACACACTTCCATCGCCTGCTCTTTCTTCATCATTACTAAGCCTGACTCAAAGATAAATATGCCACCAACAAAAATTATTTTAAGGAAATAATTTTCTGTAATTAAAAAATTACTAGAAATTGCTTGGCAAGCTGTAATGTTTGAAAACACACACGGAGGTCATCTATATCAGATAGTATAAGTTGTTTTGAAAAACTTTTTTCTTAGAATTCACCCTGGAGTAAAATAATGCTTCATAACTATGTTTGTACCAAAACCACCTGCATTGTTAGACCATGTAAAAAGAAATATGGCTGTTCTATAATTTAAACTCAGATGTAATCCACTCTTTAAAATGCAGGCTACTGGAGAAAATTCCTCCACTGGACATTAAATTCCTAGAACCATGGCAGAGTACAGAGATGAGCAAAATGAATAATTTAAATATCTTTATTTGTAATTTCTGTTTATATCTTAGTATATTTCCCTTTTAGAAGATAATCGTGGGTGTAATAATTATATGTCTCTTTTGCTCAATAGTTTGTTTAACATCTATAAAATGTCTGGCCTGGAGCTAGCATTCAACAAATGTTAAGAGAATGAAAGGAGAGATGGAGGGAAGGAAGGTAGGGGCAGAAGTTAGCTAATCTCCTCAAGCATTACTGTTATTATTCTAAGAAGATGCCTCAAAATACAGATTTTAATTCATCTTACAGGCTCAATAAGTCACAGATCCAAATATCTATCCTAGCAACTCAGAAACTTTGGAGGTTTTCAAAAGTATAAGATAAAACTGATATGGTAAAAAGGTAAAAGGATGAATGCCTGAGAAGGAAAGGATATTATATACAATGCATAGGCTCAGGAAGAGAGAGGTAACAACACACACAGTACAGGGCTCTACTGTTCCCTATCTCCTAATCAGCCTGAATCCTCAGCACAGAACACTAAGCAAATGTTCACTAGTTCCTCATGTATCCCTGCACTGTGGCAAGTACTATATTACCAGGTACCTTATATCATGAGTCACACAATCTGTTTGAAGATAAAGTATAAGAAACACATAACTACACAAATCCTTTTTTTCCTGGGCATAATTATCCAGGATTGAGCAGTAAAAGCAGAGGGATCGAGAAATCCAGCTGGAAAGGTAAGGGTAAAAAAAGGGAAAATGATAGACACACTTTTGTAAGAAAAAAATCAGTATTTTCTGAACCTACAAAAATGCTTCCTGGGTAACTTTACTTTTTATGCCAGTACGACTCATGGCAATGTGCTTTGCTGAGACCTGTAAATGTGCTTGAATCTGAAGCAAGGAGTATGTGGCTCTCGTGGTAACTAGTGCCAATGAGATCTGAAGATGTGAATCATGATACCAAAAAAACCACATCTGAAACACATTCTTCTTGATATTAGCAAAAGCTTAACTCTAGTTCCACTTGGCCTGGGAAACGTTTCTGTCATTCTGCTGGACCAGCCCACACACACTAGGCTCTTGATAGGTTCTGGGCGCAACCATCTGGCCCTTTATTTACTTAACTCTTTTCTAATACTGACAAGCACATTAGTAACACTCCTTTGATCACTAGTAAATATAGAGAGCTACTGCACAACTAACATCTTCTCATCTGAAAGTCACTAATTAGTTGTGGGTAGGAGTTGAAGAGTATTACAAAGACATGTTGAGCATTACTACAGTAAGTAATTTAAATACCCCAGAATGCATGCTAATTTATTTCCCACTTCATTAGAGGAATGGAAAACACCTTGTCAACACTAAAGTAATCAAAAAAGAGACCAGAGCATTTGGAAGGATGATAGGTAGTTAAGGAGAAAGAATAATAGCAAAATTGGGGGTGAGGATCTACATTTTTTTTTCTTGGTATGTTTTCTTTTCCTTACTTAATAGTATGACTCAAGGCTCAGGAATGGAATATGACTGTAATTCCAGCACTCAGGAAATAGAGGGAGGATGGCCAAAAAGGAAAGGTTAAGATAAAAGTGTATTTAACAGGAATGCTGGATTCAGTTAATAAGAGACAGATAAGTTGGGTGTTCCCTCTTTCTAGAACATGATTATTCTAACTAGTATTTATATAGAACACAACTTCATATTAATATTTACATACAAAAGTACTAAACGATTTGATTTTACAGAATTCAATATAGGCTTAAATTAAATAATGCCCTTTCAAGAGATGCTAAAAAGACATTTAGAAAAAAATGTTAAGTATGTTTCCAAACTCAGATTTATATATTTTTGGTCCATTATAATTTATTTATAGCATATTTTATGTAGCTAAGTGACTAACCACTATATTTTCCATAAGATTCAGATTGTTCACAGAAAATGAGCTAATTGTTTTGTGTGATGATTCAAGCATCAGATTTATAGCATCATAATCCACCTCTCTGAAACTAATTCTGTGTAGGCCCAGCCAGTCATCCTTATTTCTAAGTTCAAAAACTGAGACACCAAGCAATAACTTTCCGAAGTTATTTTGGATTTCAGTTTTGCTCACTCATCCATAGACATTTTGGGGAAGACAACCATTTCTTATAGTACAAAACCCAAATAGCTAGAAATATTTCAAATCTTTATCAAATCCTGTAACTAATGAATAACGAATGAATAACCAATACTTGGTTGATATGCAGAAATAAATTGATGTAAGGATAAACAGAACAAGTAAGAGGAAACAACACACTGGACAGTATGTGATTTGAGATCTGTAGAGGGATGCCTAGGATATGAGGGAGCAGAAAGTATGAGTCGGGGAAGAATACACAATAACAAGAATGGTAATATCAGAATAAAGGGAGACATTTTTGGTTTACAGAGAAATCAGGCACTAGGGAAATGTCTGGCGATCTACAAAGATGAGACCAGCTAACTATCTCAGGGGCAGAGTAGGGGCTACCTTAAATGCCCTCCCCTGATTATGAGATTGATGACTGACTTATATGCCTTCATCCAGCAGCTGGTGGAAGTAGAAGCAGACACCCATAAATAATCACCGATCTGAACTGGAATCCAGATGCAGAGAAGGACCAGTGAAGAGCACAGAGGTCCAGACCAGGCTGGTGAAACACACAGAAACAGCTGACCTGAACATCCAGGAACTCTTGCTCCCCAGTCTGATAGCTGGAATACCAGCATGGGACTGATCCAGACCCCAGGAACATGGGGTTCTGTGAGGAAACCTCAGAAATCTATGGGACCTCCTGTAGAAGCCCAGTATTTATCTCTAGCATAGGTGTGGACTTTGGGAGCCCATTCCATATAGAGGAATACTCCCTGAGCCAAGACACATGGGGGTGGGCCTAGGCCCTATCCCAAAGGATAGGAAAGACTCTGATGACACCCTATGGAAGGCCTCACCATCCAGGGGGAGTAGAAAAGATATGTGACAGATAAGGTTTTAGTGGGGGGGGGTAGGGGAGGATGGGTGGGAGAAGGGAACTTGGGTTGTCATGTAAAACAATCCTGTTTCTAATTCAAATAAAAAAAGTTGGAAAAAAAAGAATTAAGGTATATGTTAGTTACTGATATATGAAATAGGAATGATTTTAGTTATAGACAAATGCAGGTATGAAGATGAGACATAATAGGAGCCTTGTGCTACAACAGAACACAACAAACAAACAAACAAACAACAACAACAAATAAAACCCTCCTCAGGACAGCAGATGTTTCTGAGAGCTATGCTATTAGACATGGCAGGTATGTAAGCACCAAGGGCAGCAATGTTGGTGGCCTCTACCCATCAAAAGGATTTGCCAGTACAGATTGGATGCCTGGAGCCAAGCACTACATAAAAACAATAAAACCTGGAGCCAACTAAAGGAAGACTCAACAAAATCCACTTCCAACTGCAAATATTCCTGGAAACCTAGGCTGAAGAATGTTTTCACTTGGGAATGGCATACACTGTGTATTAACTAGTGCTTACCTCTATTTTCCCTACTAGCAGGAGGCCTAAAACATCAACCAAAAAATCCCATTCTGTTGCACACAGAAGTGATTCTAACTTTAGCTGGCAGAGATTTCTATTGATAGGTATAACCAGAATGTCACTACATGAGCAGATGGCCAAAGCAGGCCCACTTCACTGACATTGTATTATGTGGTTCTTTGTGTCCCAAACAATCAAACAAAACAAAACACAGAAGAGGTCACTGTGCCCTCCTTTGTCTGATGTAAAGCTTTATCTGTGAAATATGAATATAAAGTTACAGCACAGACATTACTGCTGCATAATGCCATTTCTATATAATATTTAATAATGTTCACAATAAAATCATAAATTTATGAAAATAGAAAAATACATGGAAACAGTACAAAATTTTGATCTTTGTAGGAACATGAATGAAAATGGAGATAATGGTATTAAGTGAAAGAAGCCTGTTTCAGAAAGAGAAATACTGTATGTATTATTTCATATAAGTTTCTTAGAGAAACAAAAGCAAGTATGTACATATGACACAGTGAAAGTAAAGCTCAGAGGGGAATAAAGGAGATGAATGGGAGAAGTAAGAAAAGAGAAGGTGGGGAAGCTTGAAAGGTGGGGGCAATATATTTAGTACACAGTATATATTAGTATGAAACTTTGTACAGTAAAGCAAAAACTTTCAAAAAATTACATGGCACATTTTTATTTTTCCAAGGCCATGACTATCACCTAAAAAAGAATAATCATATTTATCTTTCTAGGTTTTTAAGCATCCATTTACATTTATGAAGTTCCATGAAAAATTTAAGGAAACAGCCTTTAAAACCCAAATCCCAACAGTCCAAAGAGATGGCTGTGCTGGTAAAATGTTTGCTGTGCAATCATAAGTAAACAGAGTACAGATCCCCAGCACCCAAAAAACAGGTGGCATGGAAGCATGAACTGTAGCCCAAGTGCTAGAAGGGCAGAGACAGGTGGATCCTTGAGCTCTCTGGCCAGCCAGCCAGTCCAGCTGAATTGGCGATTAATTACACAAAATGGTGATAACTAAACAAATGTCAAAAGTGATAACACACACACACACATACAAGAGAAATACATAAACACACACAGTGCAAACTAAATTCTCAGTGTCCGACCCTCAATTCTATCACTACCCTACAATATGCACTATTCTGAATATGTAAAATAAAAATGAATGAAACAGTAGAACAAGAGATAAATTAGGAAAACATATCTATTTATACTAACTAATAATAAAGATGGCTGAAATATCTTTAAATGTGTAGATACATATGGTTGTGGAAACGTAGAAAGTGAATTCTGGTTACCCACCTTCAAGAAAGAGATGATGAAATACGAGGTTCAAGAATACATCTTTAGTACCTCTGTATCTTAAAATATTGCCTAGTATTAATTTTTCATCAAGTTGTCATTTTCCCTGACATTTGGTTTTATTAATCAAGGCATTTATCATTAATTTGTAGAAAATATCATAATTAAGCCAAATAAAATAAAATCCTTAAAAGGTTAAAATTAGAAAGCAGGTGAATTAGAACTTTGACATTACTCTGTTGACATACAGGAGCTTCTTGGAAGTACGGGCATCAAGTATTTTCAGAGTTTGGTGCCTCAATCTTGGGGCTGGATGGTTTTGTAAAATGTTATAAAGATTTGATTTAAAGCTGTCTGACAGTTTTGACATTCAGGTGAAAGTACGGCTGCTGCATTTGGAACAATTTGCATATCCCACTGCTAAACACAACGTTTGAGGTGTGCACTGGTGTAAAGAAATTAAAAACAAGCTATCACACATGCTTAAGTGTATGTATTCACAAACTGATGGTTGGATCACACCACCCCAACCCCCTCCAATGTAATCTGTGATTTACTCTTCTATAATAAATTGCCCTAGCATGTTATTCTCACTGGAAGATCTAACCATGCATGTAAGAAGCAAAGTAATTACAGCCCCCCTCTTGTCTGAGAAGCCTCTCTCAAGCCCTATGAGCTCTTTATATACAATGCAGCAACACATGTCTATTGTAAGCTTGCTGCCTGCAATCTGGACTTCTGTATCTGAAGCTATTAAATATCATCTGAACAGTTTGGATGTCTCCAATGAAAGCATTTTTATCCCTCCTATAGTAAGTTGTAAATCTATTCCTGGGCATGAATATATTCTTTATTTCTGCTTTGAGTCAATATGCCTACTTAAAGAAAGGGCAAGGTTTAAAATAAGAATTCAAACTAAGAAAAATGAGAAGTGTAACACATTTCTATGTAGAAAGAAGTATAACATCAACCAATTAGGATTAAATATTGTGAGATGGCAGATTTTTTCTATTATAATTTTAAATTATTTTGAGGTTTACATTAATTGTTAAAGGGCAATCAAGAAAGAGTTAAAGCAGTAAGTTCAAGGCCTTGAAAATAATACAGCATGCTTATGAAGATAAAACCTATGGGAAAGCATCACTGGATGTTACCTTCAGCCTTCAAAGTCTCAAAGGGCACTTCAAACACTCCATTCATTTATCTGTAAAAATTAAATACTTAAAATTAGTAATCATTCAAGAAACCATTTGCATTTACATTAATGTCTTCATGATTAGCTTTCAAAAGAATGTAGTTGAATGCTAATATCTCTAATATTAAGAAAAAATTTAAGTTAATTGCTATAAGTATTGCAAACATGCAGTAAAGATTCAGCAAAACATGTCACATTCAATGCAAAGCATTATGTGTATATTTTTGAAAGAACAGAGTATCAATAGTTTTCTTAAATAATATTAGCAATGATTTCTAGGTTTTTAATATTCAAGTTTCTTAAAAAGAGATAAACCCAACTCATTTACCTGCATTTTACTATTTTGAAATTTTATACTTTGGGGCATGTGTGCAGCAGGTGTGTCTTCACATGTGCACATATGTATACATGTGTGTTTAGAGGCTGCAGGACAACATTTGGCATTATGTTCAGAAATGCTCCCTACCTCCTTTGAGACAGGGTATCTTAATGATATAAAAGATCACCACTAGGATAGACTGGCCAGCAAGGTCCCAGTGACCCTCTTGTCTCTGTTTCCCTAGCACTGGGATTGCAAGCATATGCCACATCTGGCTTTATACAGTTATGCTATGCTATGGAACACACTTAAGTCTCTGCACATATACAGCAAGCACCTGAGTAACAGAACAATCCTTCCTGCCCCGCATTTTAATACTGAAACATGTTGGGAAGATCTTCAGTGTATAACAAATTGGTAAATGAGAGCAAGTTATATAATATATAAAGGTAAGATACAGATTCTATAAAAATGGTAGAGAAGGTTAAAATGTTTGCATAAGCACAGACAATTAAAAGGAAAGAATAGTAAAAAGGATGGAAAGATAGAAGGCAACAAAGGTAACATTCTGTGGAGCTTCACAGCAAGGCTGACCAAGACCTGGGGTAGTAATGGATACACAGAAATGGTGGAGTTGTTTCTTCAAAAAAAAAAAAAAAAACTATTCTATTTATTATCTGTGCACAAATTGTTTGTTTGTAATGCATATGGGTGACATATACATACATGTGAACAGAGACCAGAAAACATCAGGGTCCTGTGCTACCACTTTCTTATTTATAACCTTGAGACAGAGTACCTCATTGAATTTAGAGCTGGGTAAATGGATGGCCAGAAATCTCCTTTAATCCCCAGTCTTCAGCCTAAACAGTGCTGGGTGTTACAATAGTAAATGACCATACCTAGCTTTTTATGGGGGTGCCAGAGATTTGAACTGGGTTTATGCTTGTATAACATTACTCTTACCTGCTGAGCCATGTCCCAAGCACCTAGAGATGACTCTTTTCAATTCCTTTCTAACCACATGCATTTGGAGAATATAGAATCAAAGCTGGGACTGGAGCTGAAGCAAACAGGATGTTGAGGGGCTTTTGAAAACAGTTTGGTATATTTCACTATAAGAAGATTTAGCCACAAGCAATTCCTCCATTAAAATTTTATCTTAATATTTTATGTCCTTGGAAAGTGATCTTTCTAAATTTGCTATGAAATCTCTATGATGACCTTGA